AGGGAAGGGCACCCTTGTTAGCCAGCAGGGGCCAACTCACAGAGGAGGGGAGAAGAGGTCAAATGGGTCAGCGAGGGCAAGACTGCAGGCTGTCCTGAAGACCGACCAGGGGGCCTGCCCTTGGGAAATACGGTAGCAGAACCTTCAATAGGTTCTGGAGCAGAGGCTGGGCTGGGGCCACCAAGATGGGACCAGGGCCAGCCAGGAGGTCATTGCAGAGATCCAGACAAGGACAGCAAGCATCTGGACTGCAGCTGTGTTAAAAGCAAGCAAGAAAGGAGAAAGCAGAGAAGCATTTCAAAAGGATATGGAGAAGGGAAAAGGCAAGAGTCAGGATAAAGTTTCTGTGGTCCCAACAGAGCATCCAGGCCCAGGGCAGGGGCCAGATCTGCCATGCTGTGTCTGTCTCCCCAGCTGGAGTGGAATGCCATCAAGTCACAACTTTGTTTTAGTTACTGATGCATCCCCAAAGGGAGGTCTCCTTCCCACTCCAATTCTTTCTCCCCGTGCACACAAATTCACACCTTCCTTAATCTTCCATGTGTCTCTAGATCTCAGGAGGAAGAAAAAGAGGGATGGTGGAAGGAAGACACCCTAGTTGTTGTGTGGATATTTGTACATCTCATGACCTCTCTAAGCCTCAGTTTCCACATCAGTAAAAGGAAGGTAGTAACCTCCTGAAGTTACGAGGATTAAATTAGATACCAAATAGATGAAGAAGATTTCAAATTACATGTGCATAATTATAATTTATATATAATTTAATATGATAAAATTTATATATAATTTATAGTTTATATAATTTATGATTTAACATATAAAATTAGAAGTTTTTACAATACTTATCACAGCAAGTCTTGTGCCTTCTATCTACCTGGAGTCTATTATGGGTAGAATACTTAGGCAGACATAGAGAAAAATCTCAAAAGCAGCAAGAGAAAATAACTCATTACATGAAGTCATTCCAATAGGATTAGCAGCTGCCTTTGCGTCAGAAATCGTGGAGACCAGGTGCAGTGGATGCTGCAAAGTGCTGAAAGGGGAAAAAAAAAACTGTCAACCAAGAATTCTATATCTAGCAAAACTATCTTTCAAAACCAAAAGGTGAAGTCAAGACTTTCCCAGATAAACAAAACCTGAGAGAATTCATTTCTAGGAATACTAAATACTAGAAATACTAAAAGAAAGTTTTTCAGGATAAAAGCAAGTGACTCTAGGCAGTGAATCAAATCCTCCTGAAAAAAAGCAAAAAGTAACCAATAAAGGTGACTATGTAATTATAACAGATAATGTAAGTTCATATTTCTTTTTTCTTCTTTTGACTGATTTAAAAAGCAATTGCATAGAGACTATGTGTATAACCTATAGTTAAAGCTATGATATATAGAAGTGTAATATACTTGAAAATAGCATCCCAAAGGAGGGGAGTGGGAACAAAGTTGTGCTGGAGTAAGGAAATGACACCGTATGGTAAAGTAAGCCCTCAAGATCAAATGAAGAGAAACAGAAATTGTTTTTAAAAAAAGTTAATATAATCAACTCCATAAATACATACTTTGTACTTGCTTTCTTTTCTCAGTTTCTCTAAAAGGCATTAAGTTATATAAAGTAATAATTATAACAATGTATTATTAGGTTTGCAGCGTTTATAAATGCAACAATAGTAGTACAGAGAGGGGAATGAGGAAACGGACCTACGTGGGAGCAATGTTTCTATATCCCCAAGGTATTAAGCTACTTAATAATACTTAGTGAATCTGAAATACATTCTGATAAATGAGGAAGTATATGGTAGGCCCTAGGGCAACCAGTAAGGAAAAAGCTCAAAAAAAATCATTAAAGGAATTACCATGGTACAGTAGACAATATTCACTTAATGAAAAAAACAAAGCTCAGGTCAAAGTTTACCTGTCTTATGAGCCCTTTGCTGAGAGCTCCTCGATCACCAATTTAAACTCGCCATTTCCTCCAGGGTATCTACTTCTACTGTGTCTGCTCCTATCCCAGGATCCTTAACAGTCCACTGTCTTTTCTCCTTTGTTTCCCCACAAGACTGAAAGCCCCTCAGATATGAGGACATTGTTGAATCCCTGCTGTGCAATACAGTATCTCACAGTCAGTATTTGATAAATGGTGAATCAATAAATGTTAAATAAATTGAATCTCTAGCATATGATCAGATGAGGAAACGGAGCCACAGTGATATTGCTCCAGGTAGACCCTGGAAAACAAGAATGGAGGTTGCTGGATGTCCAGTCCTTGGCTACAAGACATGGGTCCCAACACCAACCACCATGTTGACTTTGCTACAACAGGGCATTGCCAACGTTGTGTAGAATTGCAAATGGTTGGAGAGCCTCCCCACCCAGCCCATCCCTGCTGTGCCTGGCTGGTCCTCCTCCTCTTCACACACTCAGAGCAGAGAAACCATACAAACAGCGAGGGAGGGAAGATCCCAGTGATGGGCTCCCTTACTCCCAAGCTGCTTCCTTCCTTTCCTGAGCACCCCAGCTGCACTCACTCCCAGGATTTTACAAGTCTTGGGGCTGGTACAGATGCTCCTTCTCTCCATCATGCTTTGATCTGGACCACTGCTCTGAGCCTGGTGGAGTTGCCTCAGTGAACTACACACTGAATCAAGACCCAACCTACAAGGTGGCAGGGCCCTCAGAACTCTGATGCCACCTTTGTCACCATGAGGAGTCTGGGTACAGAGTTACTAGTGGACACGCCAAGAAAGCTCTTGGCTTTGAGACAGTGCTGGGCTCCAGACAACAAACTAACTCTGAAATTCTCTGTGCGGGCTTCCCTGTTTAACTGTGAATTCACTGGAAAGGCGCATTGAAATCGATGCTATTTTTAACTCTAATAGTTAGTGATGAAAGAGGTTAAGAGATTGAGGCACTGAGCTTTGCAGCCGCTGGGAGCAAGATTGAAGCAACTTTTCTTGGGGACAGTTTGACAGCACTTATCAGCAGCCTTAAAAATAATCACTTGGATCAAGAAATTCCGCTTATATTTTGTAGTAGCTCATGGTGAAAATGAATATATGTATATTTATGTGTGATTGAAGAATTATACTGTACACCAGAAATTGACACAACATTGTATGCTGACTGTGCCCCAATTAAAAGAAAAAAGAAAGCAATAATCTTAGAGGCAATGATGATTATTTTTAAAAAATCCACACTTAGGTATTTATCCTAAGGAAATTATCGTGGGTGTACACAAATATTAATTACCAAGAAGTTTACTGCAAAATCAACTTTCTCTTTCTGATTTTTTAGCACAGAGAATTAGCTATGTCTTTTACATTATAGCCATAAAATGATAAAAATCAGTGACTGCAGTCAGCTAAAATTTTGTTGCAGAACAGCATTAAAAAGCAATAACATTAGTTTACAATATAAATGTTAAGTGTTATGAAAACAGTATGTCCCACTTTGGGAATGACACATATTTCTGCAATTTAAAAATGCACTGTTATCACATCTTACTCTTTATGAAATGGGTTCATCTTACCCCTGAAAGTACTTTCTTTTCTCTCTAAAAGGCTATTCATTGGTCAAGTGTGTGTCTTAGAAATGATGGTATCTCAGAATCAAAAAACATCCACGAACGCATATGTCAAAGAACACATGCCAGCATGTTACCTGTAGTTAAGACTGTGATGATGTCTTTTCCTTGTTTTTATTAATCTTTATTTTCTAATTTCTCTGCAATAAGCATATATTGCTGTAGCATCTCAAAAATGACAGTTTGTTACAGTTCGTCATTAAAAAATGAAAACATAAACACATGAAAAGTAAAATAAAAACAGGTGACAGGAAATATCTTCAGGGGCTCCATGGGTAATTGTAGAAGTGACGGTACAAACAGGAAACAGTAGGAATCAAAGGTGGAGTCACAGAGGGTGGGAGAGGCCGTCAAAGACTTCACCAAGGGTGTGGGGACACCTCCAAAGCCAGCCTGCCTGGCCCACCCAGCCTGGTCAGCAGCGAAGGGTCTGGGGGAGAGCACCCTGGAGGTGTGAGGTGGAAGGGAGGCAGGGTAGGCATCATGGGGAAAATTCTCCACGCCGGAAGGTGGGGTTCGAGACTTATCCGGGAAGGAGAGAAGAATTTTGAGTAGAGTCGCAACAAAATGAACAAAGTGAATTCCTTTTAGGGTGGAACAGGAGAACTGTGCGGCTTCCTCACAGCTATGCAGGGCTGGAGCCCATCTCCAGTAAAGAGCTGCTTTCACACGCACACATGCGCGCGCGCACACACACGGGCCCCGCAGTGCTCAGCCTGGACGTGAGACTTGCCGTGGAGCGCGACCACGCACGACCCACACCAAGTTCAGGTAAAGCTTTGAATGTCCCCGAGGGTTTGCAGGGACTCCGGGAGGAGCACTGCCCAGATGGCCAGGCCCCTTCCCCAGGCGTCCCCACACCGACCCCGACCGCCAGCAAAGCCAGGCAGCTGCCCTGCCAACCCCGGGAAGAGAAGGAGTCACGTTACGTGTGAGTTGCTTGTTGCCTCAGTGAAAAGCTGGCTAATATCTTCTCCCGAAAGTCGAATGGAGGAAGGGACACATCATTCACCTGAAAGGTCTAGTCAGTTAAGTTCTGGTTACGCAGAAATTTGCAATGCGTTTCATTAACACCAGTATCAAAGAGGGTAAGTGTCAAACCTCCCCAGGCCGCCCCGCCCACTGCGCGGGTCTCCGCTCACCCGCGGCTCCAGGCGGTGGTCTGTTTTCACAGGCTTGAGACCTTACAGTAGCTTGTTCAGTGTGCCCTCTGAGGTGCCTGTGTCCTTTGACTTCAGGCACTGCTTTGTGTCGCCGTGGCCTCGCGGTGTAAACGTGGGGAGGACGGGGTAGCCCTTCGGTATAGCCCAAGGCCCCTCCACTCAGCACAATCACTCTTACGGGTCTGCCAGGCACTGTGATCGCCACTGGAAACACAAATGTGGGAATGCAAAATCCAGCCCTTTAAAAGGCTATGAATTGGTCAAGAGTGTGGA